TGCAACCCAATAGACATGTGCATCAAATATTATATGTGTGAGAAAATTGTTAGGTTATATACTTAAGGGGTCAAAATTATGAATAACGGAGAAGTAGGAGGCAAAAAAATGACAAAGAATCTTCTCACAATCATTATTTTTTAATTTATTTATCGCTTTCTTCGTAGACAGACAGCTCAGCTCCACTGATCGGCTCATTCTCGTCTAGCTAGTTACAGTTTTTTCATTTTCATTTTTCATTTTCATTTTCATTTTTATTTTTCTAACCATCATCGTCATCTCCTTTCTCATCTCAGTCGGATATAAAATGGAGACGCCGATGCGTACTTGCTGAAAAGCTTTCCTTCTTGCTTCAGCTCTTTTCTGTTACGACGCTTTCAATCGCCACCGAGGTTGACGAATTCAGGTGGTGATTCTTCGTCTTCTTCTTCTTCTTCCCATGTCTTTGGTTGTGAATCTTCGCTTTCTAGACTTCTGGATTTTTTTTTTCCTGAATTTTCTCGGTTCATGTTTGATTAGTCTTTTTGTTTGTTGAATCTTCGGTCGTTTTTCTCTTGATTTCCAAATTTTGTTTACTATTTACGTAATTCGGGATTTGATTGTTTTTCTCATTTGGTTCGGATAGTTTTGTTGGAGTCGAATTTCTGGAGTGTTGAGCTCTGATTTGGTTTTTGTTGTTGTTTCTGATTTGGTGATCCACATGGTTGATGAAATTTGATTTGTAATTTATACCCAGATGATTGTGGTAGATAGTTTGATTGTGTGGAAGCTGCTGATTCCAATCAAGCGACATGATAAGGCTCTGAGTCAAATGAAATTACTCTTCTGCTTCATGATACGAAATTTTGTAGGAGATAATTTCCTTGGAAGTGGGGAAATGCAGATGTTTCTGATACCTGGTTACATGAAAAATTGATTAAACGATAGTTAACTGGCTCAGTTTTTTTTTTTTTTTTGATTTGGATTTAGAGAGCGAATGATTTGTAGTGGTTTGCCCAATATATTCCGCTGATTCAGCCCGTTGAGAATGAATGTGTGTGATGGGACTTATATCTCATTGCTTATGATGAATCTTGCAGGACCTATACCATGGCGCTCTTGTCTCAGGCAGGAGGATCATACACCGTCCCTTCTGGACCTGTGTGCTCGAAGATTGGAACTAAAGCAGTTTCTGGTAGTGTGAGAAATTTGGATGTGTTGAGAATGAAAGAAGCTTATGTTAGCTCCAACTCTAGGAGTCTACCTACCAAATCAGTGCTCCTCCATTCAAGTCAGTCTGTTAAGAGGAGCAAGCGAGGGCATCAATTGATTGTTGCGGCAAGCCCTCCAACAGAAGAGGCTGTAGTAGCAACTGAGCCGCTTACGAGAGAGGATCTCATCGCCTATCTCGCCTCTGGATGCAAATCAAAAGATAAATGGAGGTATGGTTTTGATCTAATATATTCTGTTAAAATGCCACCTATTTGATCTATTGCAACATTGGTTTTGTTCGAACTCCTCCAGATTGTTTGTCTATTTGACCAATATTCCATTTTGCTAACATAACGTTCTGATTTTTCAGAATAGGTACAGAACATGAGAAATTTGGTTTTGAGGTCAATACTTTGCGCCCTATGAAGTATGATCAAATAGCCGAGCTACTTAACAGTATCGCTGAAAGATTTGAATGGGAAAAAGTAATGGAAGATGACAAAATCATTGGTCTGAAGCAGGTAAACATTCTTCTGTATTTCATTTTCTGAGCTGCTCCTTTTAAAATACTTTAGATCATGTTAGCTTGGTATTAAAGGATTATCTCTTTTTTTTGGTTTTGCTGTGGATAATTGTTCTGTCCTTTTGTTGATCAGGGAAAGCAAAGCATTTCACTAGAACCTGGTGGTCAATTTGAGCTTAGTGGTGCACCTCTTGAGACTTTGCACCAAACTTGTGCTGAAGTTAATTCACACCTGTATCAGGTAATGTAAAAAGAAAAGTATTAGCAATACATTTATCCTAGAGTGCGACAAACAACCACATCTCTTTGGATGTTAACAGGTAAAAGCTGTCGCTGAGGAAATGGGAATCGGCTTCTTAGGAATCGGCTTCCAGCCCAAATGGCGTCGGGAAGACATACCCATCATGCCAAAGGTATGATGAGGCTTTCTCTAATATTAAGATTCGAAAAAGCTCCTATCTTTTTGTTGTTAATCCTGATGAGATCATTTGGTTCAACATGGCCAATGTTTTGTGCATTTTATTGCTGTTTGTATTAGGTTTTACTAGTATCATGTCTGATAATATTTTTTTAACTAAGATGGGTCTGACAGTAAGATTTGACATCATGTGTCCTGTGCAGGGGAGATACGACATTATGAGAAACTATATGCCGAAAGTTGGTTCCCTTGGACTTGATATGATGCTTCGAACGTGTACAGTTCAGGTTAGATGAATATTCTAGATTTGCGTCTGTTCAGAATTTTCTTGAACGAAACTTTCAGATCCCATCAATTATCTTATATTGAAACTTATAGGAACTGCCTTACGTGCATTCTTGATAGGTTAATCTGGATTTTAGCTCAGAAGCTGATATGATCAGAAAGTTTCGTGCTGGTCTTGCTTTGCAACCTGTGAGAAATTCGAGCTCTTTGTGGCATAATCAGAAGCATTTGATTAACAGTTATGACTAACCATTGCTTCAATTTATCCAAATTCAACAGATAGCAACGGCTCTATTTGCGAATTCCCCTTTTACTGAAGGAAAGCCAAACGGGTTTCTCAGCATGAGAAGGTTTCTTGATCTAAACTTTATTATCCCAATTCGTTTTAATTATGTTTTCACTCCCACGTTATAACTCTGGTTACGTTTTGACAGCCATATATGGACAGACACTGACAAGGACCGCACAGGAATGCTACCGTTCGTTTTCGATGACTCTTTTGGGTGAGTATCAAGTCATAATGACTCTGTTTTGCATTCTTGATGAGTTATGGAAAAGTTAATGTGCGGATTATCTTACATATGTATGTATGTGTTAAAAGACAGAAAGATGTTTAAATTGTTTTCCATTTCATGAAACAGCGTAGCTAATCTCGTGTAATACATTCTCTCTTTTGTTCTTATATGGTATAGGTTTGAGCAGTATGTTGACTACGCACTCGATGTCCCTATGTACTTTGCCTATCGAAACAAGAAATACGTCGACTGTACTGGAATGACATTTCGGGTTAGATTCTTTTATTATGTTCTAGGAAAAGGATTTGAAAAACTCCAGACCAAAGAATCTTCTTGAGCCATTTATAATCTCATTGTTCATGCTGCAGCAATTTTTGGCTGGAAAACTTCCTTGTCTCCCGGGTGAACTGCCTACATATAATGATTGGGAAAATCATCTGACAACAATATTCCCAGAGGTCAATCATCTTCCTCCTTTAATTGGCCATTCGACTTTTAGTTCCGTGTCTTATGTTGTTGAAGCCTGATGACATTCCATGACATTAATAGGTTCGGTTGAAGAGATACTTGGAGATGAGAGGTGCTGATGGAGGTCCCTGGAGGAGGTTGTGTGCCCTACCAGCTTTCTGGGTAATACTTTTATCAGCTCATATGCTTCATGAGTTGGTTTCATAGTGAAACTCTGTTGTTAAGAAAGATCGTCTGTTGTTTTGATCTTGTCTGCATATTTCAGGTGGGTTTATTATATGATGAGGATACACTCCAAGCTATCTTGGATCTGACAGCTGACTGGACTCCAGCAGAAAGAGAGATGCTCAGGAACAAAGTAATAACCGATACACGCTTACATTTTACATTCTTCTATTCCACAGTTTTAGAAAACATCCTCGTTTAAACCAATACTTGATTTGCAATAGGTTCCAGTAACTGGCTTAAAGACTCCGTTTAGAGATGGTCTGTTGAAGCATGTCGCTGAAGATGTCTTGAAGCTCGCAAAGGTGTGTTCTTGTGCACTCTCTTAGATACTTCAAGCTAGTTTTCTACCCTGTTTCTTCCAATGCCTAACCATACATATATATTGGGCTGCTTCTTTTTTTTTTTCCTTTCATCCTCAGGATGGTTTAGAGCGCAGAGGGTACAAGGAAGCCGGATTCTTAAACGCTGTTGCTGAAGTGGTCAGAACAGGTAAAAATAACGTTTCCCTGTGTATGATTGAATCGCAAGCCGACATTTTGTTCTATAACTTGGTGGTGAAATTTGGTTTCGAAAATGACAGGAGTTACGCCGGCGGAGAATCTCTTGGAAATGTACAATGGAGAGTGGGGACAAAGCGTTGATCCTGTGTTCCAGGAACTGTTGTACTAAGGAGAGCCTTTGGGTGTGAGTGTTTATGCTCTCTGAAGAACTCAAGTCTCGGTAATAAAGTTTTTTCTTGTTGTTGTAATCGGATTTGTAAACTGATTTTGTTTTAGAAAATTCGAAGCAGGAGAAAATTATCTGCACTAAACGATTTCAGTGTGGGAAATTGTTTGGGAGTTTCGGTGTTTGCATCTTTGAATAAAATTAGCCAATTTTCTTTGTCTCAATTGTGTCCTCCTTAATACGAAATATTGTGATTCTTATCACTTAACGAATCACAATCGGATACATAAACTTATCCTCTACTGATAGGCTCAAACAAATTGATATCATTTTTGGATACAAATGAGTGCCTATTCCTTCTGCCTACTGATAGGCTCAAACACACGTTGTAAAGAATGTGACTTACATTTTATACAATGTTATTCTTTGTTTTTATATAAATACTTAGCAAAGAGAAGATTTCTTGCGCAGCAAACAAATATAAACAATGAACAAAAAATAGAGAGAAAATAAGAAGAAGAAGAAATAGTTCGTGAGATGGGAGGAGGAAAAGAGTATATGTTGGCTGTGATCATTTTCAACTTCATAGAATACACACATAATAATAGCTGCATAAACACAGCAAAAACCACATTAATTTTAAAATTTTAATACCACACTATTATCACTCAACACAAAAACTAACATTCCAATTGGTTTTGTTGGTCAAGTTTGATCAGTACATGATATTATTATTATTTTACCACACACATGACAGCATGCATGTAGACTACTGAGCAGATTGTATAACATATTGTCTCTAAACTTTTCCGGGGCCTCCATAAATAACAAGATGACCTGTATTAGTCCACCATGTCTCCTCCGCGTCTCGCACTTGATAGCCATGACTGTTGCTTGAATGACTCTTCGTGTTCTTCACAGTATGATCAGTATTATAGTTTGCGTCGACGATCGAGATCTTACGGATATATGAGTCTATTTTAGGGTTTCCCACCGGATAATGGCCGTTACCCATCGGAGGACTTGGAGTTGGAGGAGGACTGTAGACTGCACCTCCCCATTCTACCATCGTCCCTGAGCTCTCTTTGAACCTGTCCGATGGCCAGAAACCAACTTGTTCTCCGGCCACGTACAGCCACCACTGCCCGTTGATTTTGTCCTGCATGCACTTAAACAAAATCCAGTTTTAAAAGTCTGGTTTTACCCGGCTCGTACTCGAGCATGCATTTCACTTCAATAACTGTATACATTTTTTTAAAGAAAAAATCATTGACAAAAATATCTATTAATTAAAAATTGATTTTTGATTTATTTACATTAAAACTGAAAATAGGAAAATATTTGAACACAAAAATATCGCATGTGTTAAGATTTATAAAATGAAATTAAGTTATATATCGAATCTGCAGCTACCGATTTTCGAAGACCTTAATTTCCAAGATTCGTATTCATATCCATCAGCATATATATATATGATATTTATGTATATGTTTACCCACAGTCATGGTCGGATTTTATGACTATAAATTAATATAAAAAAGACTGAGTCGGACCTTGAGTATGTCGATGTAAATATCAACATATTTACCCGCGAGAGGTAAACCAGGAGAAAAATCTTGACGGACCAGTATCATTCCGGACGGGCATCTGAAATTATAACACGCATGTCCTCCAGCCTGTATTCAAAACCATATAAAAATGTAACTACTCTAATAACTAGTTTATCACCACACATTATGCATAATTCGTATATAATGGCATGTAAAGTTTTAAAAATATATAAACACGAAAGTAAAATGTAACTATTAAATATTGACGATAAACACAAACATCAGTTCGTGTATATATGGTACGGAAACAAAAATATATAAATATAGGATCTAGCCCGGTTACGTACGTTTGTAAATACGAATAGTCGAGATTTGGCGTCGCCGTACAAGCCCGGGTGTACCTAAAATTAGTAAATAATAGGATTGGTATTACTAAAAAATATATACACCAAATCTCAATAAAATGACTTACGGTCCAACCGGCTTCGATGAATTCATTTCCAATCTGAACCTTCAATCGAGCAGAGCTACGTTGATTCGGTTGAACCGGAGGGGTCCATATAGCAACATTCATGGACCCTCCATTGTAAATCCTTCCTGCTCCTTTAGTATGCGTCACAGCAAACTGAATACCACGTACGATTGAGAACATTAAAATTTTGATATCAGCTCAATTGTAATGTGCTCATTTATAAATCATCCTAGAAAGTAGAAACCACTATAGTTCATGTGTCCAAATATAAGTGTTATCGATAATAGACAGTTTCAGAACATGAACAATAAACAATTATTATTATTTTATTTTTTTGGAATATGTGTATCTGTATATATTTCGTTAACAAATAAAAGCTATATATACTATGAAGTATGAACAGTGTTAAAATCTATCAATAGCTGATTTTTTTTTAATTCATCAAAGTATTATGACGACTTTTTATTATATATATATGTTTGACTTTTCTAATTGTAATAAAATAATAACTAAAGAAAGTACACTTACGTTATAACCACTGCCGGGAGACATAGGTTCATAAGTATTATTCCACGAATTGTCGCCACTGAGTAATTTCGATCTCAAAAAATCGTTTTTGGTGACTCTAACTATAGGGACCGTCCCAATAGGACAACCTATACCATTCTCCCAAAAGTGGCCAAAGGTTTTGTTACTAGAGGTCTCTCTTTGCAATCTTGATCCATTAGGGTATGACATCATACGCATCTACACATAAAAATATCGTAATAAGCTGGTAAAATAGTCAAACCAAATCAAACCAATTAACTAGTTTTCAAGTGAAACTGGAATCCTTTAATATATTTTGATTAGAGTTTGTATCTCTTAAAAATAAAAATTAAAGATAGGTTAATTATTAAGAGAATACTCATTAGAGCAATATACCTTGTGGTGAAATGTGTGATTCTTCATGGATGGGTGGTCAAATCCTGGTTGTTTGTAGAAATCCACGCAGCCATACCGTTCACCGTATATAGACTGTGAATTCAGAAATAACAGCAAGTAAGAATCCATCGTAACAGTTACTATAATCCTAAATATCCTTGAATGTATAAAATATAAACACAATTAGATTATGGTAAGAGGATGATGAACCTTGATGATTTTGACAGCAGGTTTGTTGATAAGCTTAAGTTTTTGCTCTATTTCCAAATCTTCAACATTTTTTAATGTCTCTGCTGCTTCGGCGATGCCATGGTTATAGCTCATTATCATAATGCTACAACATAAAACCTGGCATAATAAAATCATCCACATTACTGAAAATCCCACTTCCATTTTCATCAACACTGGAGAGACATGAGATAATTTAGTTGATATATATATAGTTTTATCAAGGATTTGCAAAAGTCTGGAAATGGAAAATAATAAACGTTTTATGGAATTAAGATAAGATATTTGGAAACTGTAGTCAATGGTCAAAGTAAATCTTCTAACCGATTGTAAAATAAGTAAAAGCATTATGAGGAAAACAAAATTGGGTAGATGCAAAGCTATTTTTTGGTTTCCAATTTCTGAAAATTCTATGTGGTCAAATTCATATGATCAGTATAATCTTATTACTATTTTACCACACACATGCATGACAGCATGCATGTATGTATACTATTGAGCAGATTTTATAACATATGGTCTCTAAATTTTCCCGGGGCATCTAGAAATGACAAGATGACCTCCCCATTCTTGGAGTTTGGAGACTGACTGTGGACTGCACCTCCCCATTCTACCATCGTCCTGGAGCTCTCTTTGAAGATTCTCGGTGGCCAGAACCCAATTTGTTCTCCGGCCATTTACAGCCACCAGTTCCCGTTGATTTTACCCTTCACTCAACAAAATCCAATTTCCAAAGACCTTAGTTTCCAAGATTCGTATTCATATCCATTTGTACTTATTGTATACCATGAGCTTTTCTTACTTTCGCATCAACCAATAAGTTGTGGGAAGTTTGCTGGCTGCCAAAACTGTACCTAAAATTTCTAATAACAACACTTTGGTTGCTTTTATCTTTGGGAACTTGAAAAAATTTCTCCAGGTAGTGGCCAAACAAACTATGAAAGCAAAAGTTACATCAGAGGTAATAGCACATCTGATATAGCCATGATTGAATGAATCCGCCAACCAACAATGGAATAACTCCTCCCAGTACAAGTACAACCCACAGAACTTGATTACGAGATTTTAGAAGTACTGGCTTGACAGCAACGCTCAATCCACTGATTTACAACAAAACCGGTTTTAACCGGTTCTCCCCTTCTACATTTAATTACTATCACAACCCGAATCAAATAAAACAAACCGATCCAACAGCTTTTCTCATACCTATATTAAAAATATTTTTCATTTAATAAAGGATAGAAAATATTAATTAGTTTAAGGGAGTAACTAGAGATCTTAATGATATATATCCATTTTATATATAAAACTAAGGCATCGCTCAAAACATTTGCTTAATGAACCGGCCACGAATCTAGACAGAGGCATAATAATAATAGTAGTTAAACATCTGTGTTTACAAACTAATATATACCCATTTGTTAATCTGTTTACCTCTGATATGCGAGAGATAATGTTGTTAAACATTGATAAAGTCACTTGCACCTAGAATTTTTATATCCTTGTTTGCGTATGTAACTATGAGGCAGTGATGTTCACAAAGTTCCCATAAAGACCCTAGTTCGTCTCCACTCACTTGGCTTTTGGGAGCTACGATTGGCCTTATCAGAGCCGTGTCCAAAGTTATAGAAACCCGAAGCGGTATAAAGAAAAAAATACTTGTGTTAAAATAATAACCATCGTTTTTCCAAATAAATATAAAATTACAATAAAAAGTTAATGTAAGTTTTTGGCAACACAAAAAATAGTGCAAGTGTAATGTTTTGTTGTCAAAAAAAGTTCAATGATAAAATGACTATAACTATGATATGTGCAAAGAAGATGAATGGGTTAATGATCTTATTTTTATTATATCTTAGTTTTAATAATAATTTATAATTTGTTTTAAAATCACTAAAAAATTAAGCATAAATGGCCCGTAGGCCAAAGTTTCTAATTACTGTATATAGGCACGGCCTTGGGCCTTATCCAACAAGTGGGTAATATTTTGACAATTTTTCCAACACTGAACCACTATCCGGTGTGCGAACCTTTTGAAGTTCAACATTAAATTTATCTCTTGCTTCTTCCAATTCCCTTCGTTGTACTTATCAAATATTTCTTTCTTCTTCCAGCTAAAAACAGGAAACTAATTTTGTTGAAGAAATGTTCTAAAATTGAAGTTCCAATGAACGATCGTTCCCAACTTAGAGAGATAGTCAAATGACAAAGGAAAGCAGCAGGCGAAGAAAGTCTTCTATTATCGAGTAATGAAAGTAAAAACATAATCATGTCTTCTATTATCGAGTAATGAAAGTAAAAACATAATCATTAATCACAAATATTTCAGAGAAGGTTAAGTTATCTGATTTTGGAGAGCACTAAGTCTTTGGATATAGTGGTTCTTAACTGATTATTCACAACTAAAAATTGTATATCATAACTTAAATCATGATTCACACCAAACAACTGACCAAAGCGAGAAAATAGAACAAACAAATAGATACCTGGCTTATCCTTGGTTGGATTTGTTGTAGTGTTTTTTTGCACAATTTTTGCATAATTAGAGGCATCTGCAGTTTCAAAAGCCGCTACAAAACCAGAACATGATTATTCACAACTAGAAATTGCAGATCATGACTCAAATCATGATTCATACCAAACTATTGACCAAAACGACGAGAAATTAAAACAAACAAATCGATACATGACTTATCCTTGGTTGGATTTGTTGCATTGTCTTTTTGCATAATTTGAGGCTTTGGAGCTTAAGTTTGAGAAGCCACTACAAAACCAAAACATGATTATTCACAACTAAAAATTACAAATCATAATTCAAATAATGATTCACACCAAACCACTTACTAAAAGCAAGAAAGTAGAATCAAATCGATACCTAGATTTTCTTTGGTTTTGTTTCAGTGTTTTTTTAATATTGCAGCTGCAATTTTTCCTTTGCATTCTGCATCCAGTCTCTACGGAATCACAAGCTCGTTTCAACAATGACCTGAACTTCCTTGAAAAAAATACCTTACATCACAAATTCACAATCACAATAGTGTACCCACTTAATGAAGCATTCATTCCAAATATAGAAATATTCTTGTAGGCAGGTTTAAAATTAAAAAAAAATCTAGACAGGGACATATTTGTTTTTAGCTAGAGTTACAAGAACTTGCTTAATTTGTATTTCTTGTGTTATCTCTTAATCAGAGTCCTGAACCAAATAAACCGTAAGAAAAATTGACTGTGTACGTAATATAAATTACATACAGATTGACTCGCTTTTATTCGTGACAGCAAATATCTCTCTGTTAGTTTACACATCTGATTCGGTTGGGAAGTTATTATTGAAAAAAAAAAGGCACGTTGAATTATTCAGAATTGTAGCTCAAATCAAAAAATGTTTCGAAATTATGATAAGGAAGAAAAACGAAAACAAATCAAAATTCTTGCGAAATTCACAGAGATTTCGATTGCATTAAGCTATTAGCTAGAGTGTGTGAGAAAAAAAATGGTTTCCGAGGATCCTGAAGGAGAAGGATCAGAGAGAGAGCCAAGAGACGGAAATGGCGGCGAGACTACCCCCGACGTACGATGGACTTCGTGGGCGATTCCGATGGTCGTGATTGCGAACGTCGTCGTTTTCATCTCCGTTATGTACGTCAACGATTGTCCTCGCCAGAGCAATCGATGTCTCGCCAAGTTCCTCGGACGCTTCTCCTTTGAGTCTTTCAAGACTAATCCTCTTCTCGGTCCTTCTTCCTCTACGTGAGTGATTCCAACATTGTGTAGCTCTTGACATTTTGCGATCTGGGTTTTGATTTTCCGATTCAGTTTCTGGAAAAACCCAAAAAAAAAAGTCACTCTTTTTGATCATTTCGTTGACCGGAATTTGAGTTCGAAAAATGATAACTTGAATTAAGTTTTTGACTGGAGATTCTAAGCTGCGTTTTGATCGTTCTGATTTCAATTGTGAGACAACATTCTGAGTTATGTTTGTATTAAGTTGTTTGGTTCTGGTTTCATCTCTGAATCACAGGTTGGAAAAAATGGGAGCTTTGGCGTGGGGGAAAATAGTACACAAGCGTCAAGCTTGGAGGCTATTAACATGTATGTGGTTGCACGCAGGTGTTATCCATTTGCTAGCAAACATGTTTTGTGTTGCCTTCATTGGAGTTCGTCTCGAACAGCAGTTTGGTTTTGTTCGTGTCGGGACGATCTATCTTGTGTCGGGATTCTGCGGGAGCATATTGTCTTGTCTTTTTGTACAGAACGCCATATCCGTTGGTGCCTCAAGTGCTTTGTTTGGCCTCTTAGGAGCAATGTTATCAGAGTTGTTCATCAATTGGACTACCTACGACAACAAAGTATCGTTTTTTACCGAGTATCTTTTTTGCATTTGAGCATAAGAAACCTCTGAGTCCATTGTTTGATTCTGTTTTTTGTATTTTTCTCTTATTTTTGATCATTTGTAGGGTGTGGCTCTGATAATGCTTTTGGTGATTGTTGGTGTTAACTTAGCGTTAGGAACACTTCCTCCTGTTGATAACTTTGCTCATATTGGAGGTTTCTTGGGTGGTTTTTTGCTCGGTTTTCTTCTCCTGATTCATCCACAGTTCGAATGGGAGGAGAACCGAGTTTCTCTTATGCCTGGTTCCATTGTTAAACCCAAGTACAATGCTTGCCAACTCGTGCTTTGTATAGTTGCAGCCATTGTCTTTGTCGCCGGGTAAGATTCAGAACTGTCCTAATCCTTCATGATGATAACTAACTACACATTTGTATTATTATTTGGTGTTTGATTCGGTTACTAAACCGGATTTTGGTTTGGATGGGTTGGCTATTCCAATGTGCAGGTTTGTCTCTGGGTTGGTGATATTATTCAAAGGAGATAATCTGAACAGATATTGTAATTGGTGCCATAAACTTAGCTACTCGGTTAAATCCCAATGGACATGACAGTTCTTTTCTTCTTAATTAGTGTTAGATTATTTTCTTTTCCTTTTTTTGTAATTACACCAGTTCTTTCTTTCAATTGTTACTTGTATTCTCCTTTTCAAATTCTTTGATAGATTGAAAAGAAAACAAAAAGTTACAACTTAGGAATATCGAGCAAGTCAACATTATAATCAAGCAAGTTCTATTTGCATTTTAGATTTAATCCACTTACTCCAAACTACAAACTAAGAAAATTAACACCAAATCTCAGTCCAGTGATCTACAACAAAACCGGGTTTAACCGGTTCTTTACTTTTTCAATTGATTCTACCCGAACCAAGTAGAACAAACTCGATCCAACAGCTTGCTTTTCTCAGTACCTATAACCAATTGGCATCCCGAGCCGGTCCAACCGACCAGAACCGGGATAAGCCTTGTTCATGAAACTAGTGTGCAATGCAGAAACTTTCTGCGGACCTGACCTCGAATCACCACAGTATGGCAAATCGACATATCCAAACCGTTTCGAAGAAGACTGCTCGTAGTATAACTGCGGTCGCGACTTGGGGGCACTAGCAGAGCGAGCCTTGGCCCTAGAGGACTCTGTACAAGCCATGTAGCTTGGATGGTCCGCGTAGCAGCAGCTTTGGGTGCAATCACTCGGTGCAATAGAACTAGCCGTGAAAGCACTGCGTTTGCTTCTAGAAGTAGCTGAATGTAGCTGAGGACTGTTGTCTGCTGTGCAAAACTGGCTTACGGTCTCCTCATGTGACGAGGACGGGCTAAAAGGCATTGTGTAAATTGGCTCAGACCTGCCTGCATTGTCTAGGACTAGGTGCGATGAGTAAAACATGTCCGGTCTGCTGCGTCTTGTGTAAGAACTGTTGTGTTTCCTGTCGATTTCAAGGATCTTTTCTTCTTCGTTCATCGCTGAGAATATTTCTCTGTGAGCAGTGTATGGTCTGTTGTTGTTGCTTGCCTTGGAACCGTTTCTCTGAAAGTTTTAATCCAATCTTTTAGCTACAAATAATGATAATGAAATGTAAAATGGATAAGCCTAACTAACATGGACTCAAAAATGATAAACAGAAATTGATAAATGTAAAATACCTTGAAAAGATGAGAATGACCGAGCTTAGAGCTGCGAGAAGAGATTGAATGCTCTAGTTTTTCCGGCGTTGGTGGACCCTTAAGGATAAACAGAGTTGTTAAAGAGGAACAATGATCTAAAAAAGACATGTGTTAGATTAACTAAGAACAATCTAATGGATTTAATCAGGCTTACGGGGTTTTGGAAGTAAGAAGATTTGGTATTGTTGGATTGAGAAGAAGAGGATTCAGGCGTGACAATAACCCTATTGGCACGGATGCGAGCTTGAGCTCGAACCAAAGCGTGCATCCTGCGCAGATGGACTGACATTCTCTTTCTTTCGATATGGCCTCTAACTATAGCTTGAAGCTTGACCAAGCCTTTTAGTGCCCTTAACGCTCTCCTTGACTTCAATAACATTAATCAAACAATTAAAAATTGGTTTAAACTAAAGATAAAAAACCCCAAAATCATCCAGAGCAGATTGCTAATATCTCCCAAGTCCTAGTCTTGAGCTCTCATTATGGATAGGACCACAAAAGCATATTGAATTTTAAATAAACATTACTTTTGATAGAAGTTGGCGCCAAAAGGAGGGAAAAACAAACAACACAAGTTGACCTTTAAGTAAATTGAACTTTTGAAATATTCACGAGGAATTCAATAAAATTAAATAGAGTGATATAAATAAATACGATGAAAGCATTTACACGTATTGTCACCCTCTACAATAGGAAAGATGAATCGACTATTAATGAACAATGTGACTTTTATGTCGATGAATACACATTTGGGGTCTGAATTGTCTTACACACTATACACTATTCTCTTAAACCCTCCAATTAAAAAAGTAATCTAAGATTCGCCATAAAGTAAAAAATTCAATAGGCATGCATCAAAGCATTAATATACATATATATATTAACTACGTCTAGGCTATAATGAACTGAAATATAGACTAATTGTAGCAGCCACCATCACCATGTAATTATTAAGTGGTCCAGTGAAAAAAAAAAAAACATTCACTCTCCAATAGAACAAAACCACAACTACTTCGTATTGGCTGATGTTAACTGATCTTAGATTGGCTATTTCTTAAAGTAGATTTCATTTCGAACCATTAAAATTTGATGGGTCAGTAATGAATTGCAACTATGTAATTTTATAAAATCATTTTATCTACTCACATTCAAATGAAAACAAATTTCAGATCAAAAAAAAATTTGGAAGCCAAATTAGTTGGATAAATGGATAGATGTATAGCAGATATAAACACTACTTAAGATTAAGCCTCTGTTCAATTGATAACAATCCCTACCCGGTGAATATAAAATATAGCATGAAAAGCATATACAACTTTTTTTGGGTATAGCAAAACAAATTACTTTAAGCGAAGAATTTTCAAGTGCTCTATAATCAATAAAAAAATGGGAAGACAGAAGGTTCATGTCTAATCACTCGTCTAGGGAAGAGGAAGCAGCAGAAGGTTTACGACATCGAAATATGTTATCTCGACGATAATCCCCGTGATTTTTTTTTTAAACCAAATGTATTAAACCATAAGTATAATTTTCCTCTTTTCCTTTATCTTATCTAAAATATAAATCATGCAAAATCGTGAAAAACATAAAATTGTCTCTTCTCTAAACAAAAATATGTTATTATTAAAAAAAAAATCAATGGCTTCGTATATTAGCAAAACAATTAATGAAAGAGAAAGAAAATTACCAAATAACCGCGAAATGCAGATTGTATCTTAATCGCCGCAAGCTCTCTACGACTGTCGTGGCCGTGACCGTGTCCGTGTCCGTCGAACCTGCTAACATGCGCAGCAACATCGTCGAACCCGCCGCTAAAATGCGCCGCGACGGGACTACGAGTCGACCTCCCGCTCGTGCTCGTGAGCCTGACAACCGCAGCGGCGGCATGAGCTGCGGCGACGGCGGCCTCCGCAGCCACAGCAGTCGCGGCGGCGACGGCAATTGCGTGTTTGTCCGAATCTTCTCCGCCTCCTCCTTCGTCCTCCCACATCGGCTTATGTTTCCGCCGACGACGGTCAGACGACGGCGACGATTGGTGGTGTGTCGGTGGCGGTGGCGGCGTCGAGCTCGGTTGCGACGAAGAAGGAAAAGGACTCTGATTCGGCGGTGCGATTTCTCTTTCGCGTTTGGATTTGACGAAGCTCCATCGGCGTTTTGGGTAAGAGCGAGAAGGCGTCTCGACGGATGGATCCGGATAACCCGGGTCGGGTTTCTTAAGTCCGAATAGATTCTTAAACCACCGTGAAGCTTTTCCCATCTTAGAAAGTTCACTTGAAGAATGTTAAAACGATGTCGTTTCTTCTCGCTACCGTCTGGCTCACTGGAGCGAGAGCGAGAACGAGAAACTGAGAGAGAGAGAGAGAGAGAAAGAGAGAAAGGAAGTGAGAAGCTTGTTAAGAGTTATGTAGTCGCAGCAGAACAAAACAGTGTTTTATTAACCACCACGCTTCTCACTCGCGCGTGTGCTTCACTACCTCTCTTTCTCTCTTTTCCCGGGAAAATTTCGTTAATCTCCATATTATTATTTTTATTCAGAGTGCGTCGTGTAATTTCTTGTATTAACACTTAACAGTCACTTGTGTTGTATCTATACATCCAAACAAAATCCTTTGAAAAAATAATCTTTAAAATGAAACACACATAACCCAAGCCTTATGTAACCAAATCGAAAATGTAAGATTTTTATTTAGATACGAGTGTTATAATAATATTATCCTCATGTGAATCTGGGAAATAATACGATGACTCCGAAGAACAGAGAGATGACAAAAAGCGTCAATACTTTTTATTAAGAAGAGATGGACCACACTATAATCCGCTACGGACCCATAACGGATGACGTCACTTTTGTGGGACCCTTGGCCTTAATCCAATGGCTGTTAATAAACCGATTTTCCATTCCATCATCACGTTTTTGTGGGTCCTACTCCGTTTGTTTCGTCTACTAACGGGATCGCGCCGTCCGCTGCACCGTCGTTTTGCGATATGGAAATCGAAGTCGGAATACAATTCTTTTATACTCGTTTTTTTTTTTGTTTTTTTCCTATCTCTTTTGTCTTTTAAGCATTTAAATTGTTTTTCAGATTTATATGTGAGGTTGAATTTTTTGGACTGTAGAGGGAGTATTGTATAACTAATCATATTCGCTTCTATGCGATTAGACATAGTTCTACGAATAAAAAAGTACGTATTTCTCTACATATACAAAATTTACAAACTGTACATGGCTATTAATTATTAACACGTTCATCGGTCATAGCATAAAATTGAAATGTTCGATTCAAAATAGTTATAGTAGATCAATGTCATGAGAAATATGTGAATATGTCCTAATTACCTAAATTACTGTAGTTATTATAATGTTTCCTCATGAGAGAGATGGGACTAAACTAAACCTAGCTAGTCGTAGTCTCGTAGATACTGGATTTTTTCTTTAAAATATAGCAATCTTATTGTAAAGTTTACTGTATTGCAAACATCAATTAAGCATCTTGGAATAATACTCATTTTATATAGACATAAGGTTGACTGTAACATAAGTACATAACAAACATTCATTTCAAAATAACAGATTTCGTGACAGTCAGAGTAAATAGAGCGCTAATTACTCAAGAATTAACTTAATGACAAACTTAAGATACTGAGTTGTAAATTTGCATATATTCCAAATGTAGAACCATAATTAAGAAAACGAACAAACACTGTTAAGTGTTAACAAAGATATGTCTCAAGTAATCATAATGAATCCAATGGTTCACGTGTAACACTTTAGAGAATCTAACTCGTAGTCGTAAAAGGCAAAAAGAAAATGTACCGACAATTAATCCACTGGAATCTTCGGTATGTCTCATGCAAGTGAGAAAAAGACATTACAGAGACTCATAGAGAACGGAAGACGCATCTCACCAGAAGGCCGTTGCGATCTAAACACGTGTCATGTAAGTACAAGAAGTAGAGCCCACATGAATCTTAGTTAGTCGTATATAGTGGACTGTGGTTGTTGACTTTGGTCAACGATTCCCGTGTATGAACTCGTACGTGCATGTTTGTAATATAATTCTAGTCAAAAATTTCAGCGGAATTATTGTTTCTCCCAAAATAAAATTTGTTGGCAAGCACAATTGTGGTATTATTCTTAGTTGTCAAAATTATGAATATTGTATGAGATTAGAGTAATAATATGCAAGTTGATCAATCATATAGTTGAATCAGGAAATATGGATAGGAACTAATCAACGGTGAATATGATTTATTAACAAGATTAGGTGCACCTAATAACAAATCATAGAAGGCTATGACTAACAATAAGCATCCAAATTTGTTTAGCCGGTTTCCCATATTGAAATGAGATTGCAAAAGAAAATACGAAACTCGTTTATAGCATTAAAATTGTCGTTAGCCGTTGCATTCAAATATTCACGCCATACGAATAAAAATTGGTTTAGATTGCGATTGATCCGACAAGAACCGGTTATACGGAAAGGGTTTTGGTTTGTATCGTCACGAGAATGCGGTAGGTCGTGGTGAAGTCGAATATATATATGACCATAAGATATTTTGGGATGTTCAGTCAAAGTTTATACATAAATCGAAATGAACTGAAACTAGCTCGAATATATGTTGTTTAAACTCGTATTTAACATTTTAGCCACGATTTCTAAAATGTTTTCTTAATTAAACTAAACCACATGGTTATGTTGGTATGACTTATTTACTTTTATGAAACTGTAACAAAAGCTTTCTATTGACCGATAAGGAAAACAAGAAACTAATATTTGAGTAGTGAGTTTAGTCATTTTTCTGATAAAGTCAACAGTGAGATAATTTTCCATCACGAACATCAATCATTCCCAATCAAAATATTAAAAAGGAAAAAAAAAATATTACATTTTTAAAATTTTAATCTGTGTATGAGGAAGGTACAAAGTAATTTCATTTGTTCATATTCAACTCTTTTTTTATGATCGACAGACATATCTGTGCATATAATATAATATACTATACTATATAAAGGTAAAGTAAAGATATCTCAATTGAAATGTTAACATAATAATTAAAATGCTACGAAATACATACAAGGCAAGAGCAGAAAGTCTTAAAAAGAGTTGTTATCTAGAGGTCACAAGCATGTGTTGTTAACTAAATTTTACTATGCTCAGACTCATCGATGTGATTTGTTCTGACTTACCCAGACAGGCAGACAAACATCTTACATCCGCAACAAATTTCTTCCTTCCAATACTTTCCGCTCACGCACATGCATGCACATACATGCATGATATCTATATATTCTTTGTTTTGATATATATTATGTATATGTAAAAATTTGTCTGTTTCAAGATGCTGAATCGAGGAATTAAAAAATAAAAGATATTTTTTTTGTGTGTGGAAAATACAAGTGTTTTAGGCTTCTGGCTCGTATATTAGGTACTGGGAAGCTACAGACGACGCAGTGATGGGAAGCTGTAAGGAGAGAATAACAAAGCAAAAGAGGCAAAAGGCTACGAATTGTCACTCCTCAGTCCTCACCCTTCCCTTTTCTGCTGCTCTTCTCTCTCCCCCACAAACCCAACTACAATCCAAACCACAAAAAGCCACCAATTTCTCCTTTTCTCGTAATTCTTTATCTCACCCTTTTATTATTTAATTTCCTCCTCCTTCACTTAAAAATCCCATTTTACGACTGAAAGCAATACCCTTTCTTTTTAAAGCAAACACAACCGAACCAAATGCCTATACCCCCTACGGGCTAAGGGCTAACTCTAATCAACTAATGAACTAGTGGTGGGTGAATTGATCAAACTAATAATTAATCAAGTGAACAACCAAAATTCTGCTTTTTTCTTTCATTTCATGAAATTATATATAATTAGTGCAGCTTTAACACTATGTTACATTTGTAAAGTAAGAGATCAGAAAGATACTTTCTTTTGCCCACGTCCTCGCTTTGTATAAAACATCCTCTTAACCATATGAAACATTGGTACCTTGTCAATCCTCGTCATCTTGTGCACCAGACCCCGCTTTGCGGAACAGGCTCATCATCCGACTTATTATTTCCTCAAACGACGGTCGTTTTGCTGGATCACTGTTCCAACGAATATTAAAACAAATTTTGGGAGGGTATATTTGATGAAAGAGTATACTGTAATATAGATCTTCTTACGTTTGCCAACAATCCTGAATTATGGATGCAATCCGGGGATTTAATCCTTCTGGTAAGTCTAACCGTCGGTCCATGAACCCGACAACTCCAACAACCTATTAAAAAGTTGATAAGATGACTACAATCTTATGATTCAGCTATAAGGAAAGAATTTGAGAGGTACCTGAATAGAGTTTAGACGGTCCCATGGTATTAAAGTAGTCATTAGCTCCCATAAGATGACTCCAAAGCTAAATACATCACACCTGTAACAACAAATTATTGACTTTTTTAGCTCAAAAATGTGTTCAAGTTCAGAAGAACGAAAATAAGATAACGGTTAATATTATATCGACGTACTTCTCATTCGAAGGTTCACTCCTGAGAACTTCAGGGGCCATCCACTGTGGCTGTTAATAGAAAATATGAATAATGTTTAGTTACAGAAATCCAACAATGTTCTGTGGATCAAGAGAAACAGAGACGGCTTACTGTTCCTTTCCCGGATCTAGTGCTTAAGAAAGTTGCGTTTTTCCACTTTGACAACCCAAAGTCTCCAACCTAGGATATAAAGAGTGGTAAGTAAAAGAGGTAATAAACTCATTTAACAAGTCTTCATGAGTGTGACTTGTGGAGAAAAATGAAGCCTTTTGATTTACCTTGACATTCCAGTTTCTGTCCACGAGCAGATTTGACGATTTCAAGTCTCTGTGTACGATTGGCGGATTTCTGCGGTGCAAGTAATTCATTCCCCTAGCCTGCAACAACAATGGAGAACACGGATTCGCTCAGCTTTTTTCATATGGTTTATTTATGCGAGAGAGGTCTCTGGAAGATGTGAGTCTTACAACATCAAGGCCTATCCTTAAACGACGTTTCTTGTCCAGTGGCTGATTCGAATTATGAAGTATTTTGAAGAGACTCCCTCTAATCATCAAAACCGGAAACAAATAAATTGATACAGATCAGAAATTTCTTGCAGCATAATATATAACGCATTCAATAAGGAGAAGCACTACTTCCAAAAGGTATCTCACCTTGGCAGATACTCCATGACTATGGCAGATTTTTCTTCGGAACATACTGCTCCCATAAATAACAGCACATTCGGATGTCTCAGTTTCTTCATAATGTTGATCTATAGATATTGATCCAAACTGATTTATTTGGTCTGTCACGGATGATTTTTCAAAACACTACATAGCAGAGAGAACCAAATATGCATACCTCTTTTTTGCACTCCATCCAAGTCATTGCATTGTAATCACCCTCAAAATAAACCTTTATAGCAACATCCTGGTTCAAATAAATCGGACTTTAGTTCCTTATTCATGTGCACTGATACGAGAACCATCTTTGAATTATCATTAACTTTACAGAAGACTTACCGAACCATTCCAAACTCCTCGATGAACCGCAGCAAATGAACCTGTGCACAACTGTAACGAATCAGAAATACTGGAATCAATCTAAACTGTATTGAATCTGCATATCTCAAAAGTAAAACGAACGTAAGATTCTGGCTAAACCAAACGCACCTCGTCCAACTTCTTCCCCAAGTTGTAGATCTTCCCATCGTATCTCACACGACGAATCGGTAATTAATCCATTTGTTTGACTCGACGGATTTTGTTGCTTACGGTCGCTGGCTTCAAGACATGGAAAGGGATCGTCACTAGGCCGAGCCGTCCAAGCATCTTCTATCTCACCATTTAAGTCTGACATTCTTGTTCCCCTGCCAGAAATCAGACCACTCTCTGGTCTTTTAGGTGGTTTTCTTTGACTGAGATTCCCAATAAACTGAAAGCGGTCTCCAGCACGTGATACTATATGTCTCTCTTCACTCAAATCTCGAGCTCCACTCCCGTTGACATCTGAGATTCTAGTTTCAGCCTTTTTTGGCTTTTCATTGCCACAGTCTCTGAAAGTCGTGCAGCTAACTGCATTAGAAGCGTTAGAAACAGATCCATTGCCAACTGCTGACTTAATTATTCCACCTCCTAAGATAGGCTCATTATCTTCATTTCCTTGGCTACCAGTAATCTTCCTTTGCAGCTTCCCCAAAAACTTATCCGCCTACACTAGTATATATGCAGATTCAGCTGATGACACGAGACATCAAAAGCTCTAGGAAATGTCAAGATAGAAGACCAAAGTCATGTTTAAGTAGATAACAAAAACTCACCATTGAGCCATACTTTTCGAAAGTTGTGGAGGGAACAACCGGAACATTTTCATCTCTGCTCCTAGAAGTCTGATTTCCACTGAAGGAATCATCCCCATTTCTCTGTGGTAGAAGCTTCGACGCCTTCTCGGTTTGTGCAGACAACAGAGAAGCCAAAAGAAAATCATTCATCTTGCACATGAATCAAGCATTGAAAAAGGAACCGAAAAAATTAGCAGGATTCAGAATGTGAGAATCACCAGGTTCGAAACAGTAGATGAAATCTGTGGTGCTGCAGCGATCTGAGGCCTCGGGAGGTGCCATTGATGCTTTCTCAAGTTCGAATCATGTCTATTACTATGTGCTTGCTGTTGATGCTCACTACTTAACGGATGCATCCTATTAAATAGTGTTGCATCGCTTGACACAGTAACAACACCAACGAGCTCACCGTCTTCGTATATAGGGCTTTTAGTCACCAACGCCATGAATAGTTCACCTGTTTTCTTCTGAAAGGGAAACTGACCAGCCCAAGTCTCCCCACGACAAACCCTGTTCCGTATACTCATAAGGCAATTCCGATATTCTTCGGTTACAAGCAAATCAATTGTTCTGTAGCCAACAACTTCCTCAGCATACCAGTGGTACAGATTCTCAGCAGAACGACTCCTGAATAAGAATAGAATCTATTCACTCCAGGAGACAAACATGAAACTTATTTGTATATAAATTGTACAAAATCATAGCCGTTTGCGTTAGATTAAGATACTCCACTCTCGAATTCACTAAAACCACATCATAGAACACAATTTCAATGGAACAAATCGAATTTTACGAGCTCCTGATTCAACGGAAATCATCTACAAGTGCCATAGATAAGCAGGACAAGCATAAATGTATCGATTTCAGGCTCACCAGAATGTAATTTCTCCAGAGGCGGCGGATGTGACATGAACAGCGTGTCCCATTGAATCCATCAAGGTCCGGTACGCACTATCGGCGAAGTAGAATCCCGAAACCGCTTTATCCCAAGTCGCCGACGGACTATTCCACAAATCCTCCGCCTCAGCCTCCGATTCCGGCGCAGGTTCGATGCCGATTCGTCTATCCTCCTGGAGGAGCAGATCATCCACATCGTTCCTTAGTCTCGCTTGACTCGTCTCCATTCTCTGGCACCAATCCACCAAAACTTTGTAGAGACTCGGGTCCGAGTTGTCGTTGTTTCCGGCCATCGTGCTTCGCCGGAGAATCTGCTGACCAGACGCATCAAGATCCGCCTCTGGTATACACTTCGCGCAATTATTTTAAATAAAAAAAAAAGGTAAAATAGAAGGAAGGAAAATCTCAAAATGCGGCCTTCTCAATTGTTTAATATTTTTCCCAGCTGCTTCTTAATCACTCGTGACGCCATAATTAACGAAACCGGCTTTATTATAAACACTGTGATGCATCAAGCGTACGCCACGTGTCTCTGTACTAATGTGGTGCTGCCACTTGTAGAAATTGCCGATGTAAGTAGAAAGATTTTGAGGAACAGACGATTTTGGCAGTTTCTCAAAGGGGCCTTAATGAGTTAATGTGTGTGTTGAAGGCCTCTAACTCTTAACGGCATTTACACATTTTTATTATTTTTTTATCTCCACATATGGCTGACGATTTCTTACCCTTTTGGTTGATATTTTCTAGACCGATTGAAATGCTAAAAATAATATAAAATCACGACGATTTTGGAAATTTTTTATTGAAAACTGATAAGATTTATTTTTTGGAAATTTATTACTAAAAATATAGTTTATAATAAAAAATAATTTAAATATTGTAAATAGGAACATTATTCGTGTCAAATATTGTATATATTAGCTCGGTATCTCAGTTTGATTTTCTAAACTGTTTTAGGTGCATATGATGTTGCCCCCAAAAAATGACAACTACTGAATTGGTAGCTTGGTAGAATTGACTGCAATTTTGAATATACATTACATTTTAGTCTTTAAATAGTTTTAGTTATTAAGGGAAAAACTCCGATCTTATTATTTCCATAAGCAGTGTATATATACATTACATAACTAATGTATCAGAAACTCTAATGGGCCATGAGACATTAACCTGATGGTTAATGGGCCGGTTACTAGAAGTCCATTTGTTTATAACACTCCTCCTTGGACAAGGTAACCGTGCCTGTCACAAAACCGGGATCTCTATAATGCGCTGGAGAACGTTGCCTCATTAAAACCTTACCAGGAAAACCCAGTGGGAAAAACCATGGTGAAGGAAAAAGAGTACAACACGCATTACTCCCCCTGTTTTAGGCATCACTGTAGATCTCTAAGTCTACGCATTCCTATCTGATGAATGAGCTTCCGGAGTGTAGAAGGCGGTAATGATTTAGTGAATAGATCGGCTGAATTTTCGCTTGATCGGACTTGCTGAACCTTGACCTGACCATCCTTCTGCAGCTCATGAGTGAAGAAGAATTTGGGCAGAATATGCTTCGTCCGGTCACCTTTGATGTAGCCGTCCTTGAGTTGAGCGATACAAGCTGCATTGTCTTCATACATCACCGTAGGCTCCTTATCTTCGTCCATACCACACTCTGATCGGATATGCTGAGTCATGGACCGCAACCAAACATACTCTCTACTAGCTTCGTGGATGGCCAAGATTTCTGCATGGTTGGATGAGGTAGCGGTAATAGTCTGCTTCATGGATCTCCAAGATATGGCTGTTCCTCCATGCGTGAAAACATAACCGGTTTGAGACCGGGCACAGTGCGGATCTGACAAATATCCTGCATCAGCAAAACCAACTAGACCATCCTTGTTATGGTTAGAATAAAATAATCCCAAGTCCTTAGTACCTTGAAGGTATCTAAGGATGTGCTTAATACCGTTCCAGTGCCTTTGAGTTGGACACGAACTAAAGCGAGCTAAGAGGCTCACGGCAAAGCAGATGTCTGGTCTAGTGTGACTAGCCAAGTACATTAATGCTCCTATGGCACTGAGGTATGGCATTTCAGGACCGAGGATTTCTTCATCGTCCTTCTTTGGACCGAATGGATCACTATCCAATCCAAGGCTCCTCACAACCATTGGGCTGGTCAATGGGTGGGCCTGGTCCATATTGAATCTCTTGAGTACCTTTTCAGTGTATGCCAATTGATGCACAAGGATTCCGTCATTGACGTACTCAAGTTGTAATCCCAAACAGAATTTAGTTTTGCCTAGGTCTTTCATTTCAAACTCTGCTTTTAAGCATTCAACTGTTTGGGCGATTTCACCAGATGTTCCGAGGATGTTCAAGTCATCCACGTATACTGCTATGATTACAAATCCTTTGTTTTGATATTTTCTGATGAAGATGCATGGACTGATCGGATCGTTTTCGTAGCCTTCTCTGATGAGATATTCGCTTAACCGGTTATACCACATACGTCCGCTTTGTTTCAGTCCATATAAGGATTTGTTCAGCCTAATGCAGTGTTTATCACGAGATGCATGCTTATATTTGAGCTCAATACCATCTGGTAATCTCATATAGATTTCACTGTCCAGTGGTCCATAAAGATATGCGGTTACAACATCCATTAACCGTAAATCTAAGTTTTCTCTTATGGCCAGACTTATGAGGAATCGAAATGTAGTTGCATCCACCACTGGAGAATAAGTCTCCTCATAATCGATTCCGGGTCTCTGTGAGAATCCTTGTGCTACAAGGCGTGCCTTATATCTAACGACTTCGCCGAGTTCGTTTCTTTTACGCACAAAGACCCATTTGTTTCCCACTGGTTTAACATCGAATGGTGTCCTTAAGATCGGACCAAACACATTCCGTTTCTTTAAACTATTCAACTCCACGTTTATGGCTTCTTTCCATTTCAGCCAATCTGATCTACGAGTGCACTCAATTATAGACGTGGGTTCTAGATCCTCTTGCGTGTGCGCAATCTCAAGTGCTACCTTGTATGCAAAAGTTTCATTGATGTCGACATCTTTTATGTTCCATAGAGAACCGAATATGATATAATTGATTGAGATCTCATTATTATCAATCCCTTCAAAACCTTGAGTTTTGGCGTCCCAAACCTCTTGAGATGGTTCGATAGGGTAAGTATCAGGTGAGGCTGTATCCGTGTTCTCTTGAATCCCGGTTTCAATCATTGCACCTTTCTTTGATTTTCGGGGATTCTTATCTTTGGAACCTGGTGGTCTGCCACGTTTCTTACGTGCGTCAGACTCTGTAGCAACTTGACTTTTCCCTGAGGGGACATCTATTCGTACTGGTGCATTACAAGCTGGTACGTACGATTTGGTAACTTTGTTCGGGTCAGCAAAGGAATCTGGCAATTGATTAGCTAGCTTTTGTAAATGTATAATTCTTTGGACCTCTGAATCACATTCTAGAGTCCGAGGATCTTGCCATTGTGTGGATGTTTGATTCCATGAAAGTTCTTTTACCAGCTTGTCTGTCTCACCACCTAATCTAGGATATACCGATTCATCAAATCGGCAATCTGCATATCTGGCTTTAAACAGATCTCTTGTAGTTGGCTCGAGATATTTTATGATGGTGGGAGAATCAAAACCAACATATATTCCCATCCTCCTTTGAGGTCCCATTTTAGTCCTCTGAGGTGGTGCAATGGGTACATAGACTGAACACCCAAATGTTTTAATATGGGAGACGTCTGGCTCATGACCCGTTAGCAATTGGGATGGTGAATATTTGTGCTCACTAGATGGTCGTATGCGTATTAGTTCAGCGGCATGTAAGACTGCGTGTCCCCAAGCTGAGACCGGGAGTTGTGACCTCATGAGTAATGGTCTAGCAACCCATTGAATTCGTTTAATGAAGGATTCAGCTAATCCATTTTGTGTATGGACATGTGGAACGGGATGTTCAACACTTACCCCCATGGACATACAATATTCATTAAACGCTTGGGAAGTGAATTCACCAGCATTATCAAGACGTATAGTCTTTAATGGGAAGTCTGGAAAATGGGCTCGTAATCTGATGATTTAGGCCAATAACCTAGCAAAAGCCTGGTTCCTAGAAGAGAGCAGACAGACATGCGACCAGCGGGTCGATGCGTCAATGAGGACCATGAAATATCTGAATGTCCCACAAGGTGGGTGAATTGGTCCACATATGTCTCCTTGGATTCTTTCCAGAAAGTTCAAGGTCTCTTTAGACACTTTGACTGGTGAAGGTCGGGTAATCAGTTTCCCTTGTGAGCAAGCTGTGCACTTGAGGTGCTGAGGGAAAATACCATTTGGTTTAAGGCTGTGCCCTTTAGAATTCTGGACTAATTTACGCATCATGTTCGCACCGGGATGACCCAGGTGATCATGCCAAATAGTGTAATCTAAAAGCCGTGCTTTGATAGCAGCATTAGCCTCAATCATACTGACTTTAGCATGGTAAATGCCAGTAGATATGGCGGGTATAGTTTCAAAAACTTGTTTATGGCCATTTATCATTTTAGTGATAATTAAAAACTCTTTGTTCCCTTCATCCTGAGTTTCGATATGGAAACCATTCAATCTTATGTCTTTGAAACTCAATAGGTTTCTCTTAGAACTGGGTGAGTATAAGGCATCAGAGATGTCTAGATATGTGCCATTTGATAACAACACATTAGCTTGGCCATGGCCCTCTATTAGGCTCGAACTACCCGCTATAGTGCTAATGTTTGCGGTTTTGATTACTAAATTTATGAAGTAATTCTTGTCTTTTAGAATGGTGTGGCTCGATCCACTATCCACAATGATATCCATATTTTCTTGCATATCTTTTTTAAACAAGAATTATAATTCAATAACATGCAAAAATGAAATGTAAATAAAACATTACTCCATAAATTAAAATGTAAAAGCAAAAGGTCTTAAAAATCCAAAGTAAAGACAATAAATCCCAAAAACAAAAGATAAAAGTTTAAGGAGTAATGAAAAACAAATTCAGATTTTTGAGATCAATCAAGAAGGTCGGAGAGCTCATAATCCATGCCATCAATCTTATCATCCTTTGAGTCATCTTCATTGACTTGATGAACCAGGTTAGCCTCATGATTATCTTTCCCATACTTCTGGTAGAGCTCAGCAAGATATTTGGGAATACGGCAGTTCTTGACCCAATGATTAGTCATTCCGCATCTTGAGCAAGGAGTTGGTCTAGATGAACTGCCTCTTTGGGTCGGTTTGTTGATACCACGACCCTTACCCCGACCAAAACTGAGGTTAGGTCGGTTATCTTGGTTCGGTCTACTGCGTCCTCTGCCGCGCAGTCCATGTCCATTTCCACGTCCATTTCCACGTCCACGTCTAC